ACTCACCAAAAATCTCTGCAGCACTGGCAGTTTAGACGCACATACTGCACTCTCGGGCAAAATCTTTAATTTACCTGATTGCCAAATACACCTACGGCACATGCGGTGGATACTTGCTCCGGACCAAACCATACGGCTGCTAGCCTTGGCGGTATACCCAGAATAAACATTTGCGACGATCCAACAATCGTTTGCCCGACAAATGTAATCCAGAATCCGTCTTAACTACAATAAATTATGCTCTTTTGCCGAAATGCTCATATTTCAAGAGAATCTTGTTTTAGCGCTTTGCTTAAATGCTGCATTTTTCCTTTGCGTTTTGGAACCAAATTAAAGTTAGTAAGTATTACTTTTTTAGCGCATTTTAGCAATTTCAGCTGATTTTAAATATACTTCGACTGAATTTTGCCCACTTTGATATTTGTCTCTTCGTTTAGAGTAGCGCCCCTCTGTCCGGCTTCTTTGTTTGGAGCTTTCGCACCTCATTTGAAATTTTGCGCCCTCCTCTCAATCTGACATGTATTTTTTTCAAAGGGATCGATTTAGAAGAAATTGGACATAAGCTTATGCATAATCAGAACAATTAGATACGAGTAATGAATGCATTCTGGCTATTTCTTTACATACGTTAACAAAAGCTGCCTTCTTACATTTACATTTATTCATTCACCAAACTGGGAAAAAAAATTTATTTCTATACATGTCATGCTTTTGAGTATAAAAGAGAAAAAACAAAACAGAATAGCTACGAATTGTTCCAGGAAAAGTGTTGTATCAGAACCAGAAGATAATCTTCCAGTGCAATTTTGAATAAATTGTGATGTAAAATTTGGATTTAATTGAGCAAAATTAGTGAAGCGCTGTTTAGTTTAGTTGGAATAAAGTGGCAAATTTAAGTACCGTCGTTAGAATTGTGTTTTGAGCAAAAAAATTTACCAGGCCTTGCCGAAAGCATTTTTATCCATGCTCCAAAGCAATTACCACCAGCACCGAGCAGCACTGATATCCTCAGGCCATATTTGTCAAGCACCCAGCTGCAAAAGCTCATGCACTTTAAAAATTCCTCCACAAAAACGATTTTTCTAGCTTTTTAGAAAAACGCAAAAATTTGAAAATATCCGTAAGCTGGAACGTAATTACGTGTCCGTATGCCAAGACAGCAGTCATGGCACCCGTCCCTACGTCTCGCATAATTTGGAGCTCTTCTATTGTGTAGCACTTAAAAGAATATTGACGCTGCCGCAGAAATCCCGCGAAAATCAGGCAAAAGGAGTATGCACATGGAGGACAGTGACCTTTGTGAAGTGATCGTTGTATCTCCTTGGCGGTAGTATTGCGGAAATTCTGCGAAAAGCTGGCAAAAAAGGTTTGTGCATGCAAATAGGCAGAAGGCATATGTGTGGGGTCCAAATTATGTGAAGCATAAGAACCAGTGTAGTAGTAGCAACACGTCGCGTCCGGAGTGGAAAGCAGTGATTCGTATCCCTCCCAGTCCAGGACAATTTTCGAGAAGAGTCTCCATTCGCGACAAATACCTCAACTTTTGCTTTCAACACTTAGAGTATCACCTCGCTAACTGTACGTTTCTTGAGGAGGTTTAGGCTGACGAGAGGAAAAAAACTCATTTCTTGACTTCTGGAGAACAGCGTAAACATTCTATTCTTTCATAAAATTACTACCTTGCCGGTAGCACAAAGAGAATATATGAAAGCATATAAATCATGGATGTCCAATCGACGGCAGTATAAGTGACCGAATAAAACTGCACAATTATATGGGCAATGATGGAGTACTCGATCCACTGCAGCGCATTCGATGCCGATAACAAAATGAATATCAACAAAATGTAATATCGCTTTCGGTACACATGTGTCTCTTCCACCTGCATATTTGGAGTAGCGACCGGCTCCCTTGAAGCGCTTGTTCCGGAATCCGTCCCGCACGCCATTATGTAGCAGTTTCTTGCTCTGAAAAGCGGGCGAAGCTGTGTTTAATGATAACGAAAACACACGTTTTAGACCCAAAAATTAGTAATTGACTTAACAGAATACTTCGCAAGTTCAAAAACTTCAGACAATCAACGAGTTCAAAAGTGACGCACTCTGCCCTCTTGCCCCATTGGTATAGTATTTACGAAGCTCTGAGCCGTTCTCAAACAAACTTTATAGAGCAAAAAAAGCTTCTTTCTTGTCCTTTGAAGCCTGACAATCTAAATATCTCATTTCGGATGTTCTAAATACCACAATTCCCAAACAGCACACCGTCTGGCATCCGTCAGAAAGGCATCTAATTTACTGCTTCATTTTCAGGCGTCTTATATTTGTTTCTGCCTTACAGTTTTTTTAATACAATGTTTCCTCATTATCTAGACTCTGGATACGATTTGGAAAAACCTTCGTCTCTTATCACCACATTGTTTTCAGAGCCTATAAGGTGTGTCCTATAAAAAGATGGAAGCGAATTAAATTAAAGTAAAAGAGATAATCATGAAGGAATAGCAATCTAAATAGAGATGGGAAGAAATTAAAACTATTTGCGCAAAATTTATGCGTGTTTATGAGTAAATTTGCATATATAGTAGGAACAGCTACGATAAGAGTGATCCAGTACATTAAATTGTGTGTCTCATCTTATTACCGCAAATTCAATTAAATTTATCACTTCTTTAGGCCGATAAACAAATTAAAACGCATTCAAAAAAAAAAAATAGTCAAGCTCAAAACACCATATTCGATAGTACAAACTTGAATCTAATTACTTGTTATATAAAGGATTTTCGAAAACACAGAATGTTTTGTTGTTACTAGCTTGTATGTACAAGGTTGGCGCAAACATAATTTTTTAAGTAACTGACAACCACGCACAACAGAATCACTATGTCTGCGAGGTAGAAGAAATTGGCCATAAAATAATCAAAGCTAGGAAGTGCTAGTAAAAATGACGACAGCTAATGAGGCAAAAAGAAAAAGTGGGAAAGAAGACGTGCTAAAATCTACCGATGCAGAGAAAAAGAATGATATTAAAATCACATACATTTGCAGACATGAATGTGAAGCTTTTTCCCCATCGAACTAAATGAAGGAATCGTAGAGGGGCTGGTTTTCCCACCGAATGTGTTGCTGATAACCCACCAAAAACCGGCCAAGAAGCCGCAACAAAGGAAAAGACAGAAACAGCCTGTGAGGGGAAGAGAAGAAAGGTGCGTCTTGCTCTGAAAGGTAGATACACAGTAGATGTGCTGCTAGAGTGAACCTGGAGCAAAGAACCGGTGATGTAGTGGCAATATGTCGCGTCCACATGCGAGGAGAAGTGGTTCAATTCCCTCCCGGTCTAGAACAATTTTCAAGATATGGCTCTTTTCACCACAGAATGTATTATGAGTGTATGTAACAAAGTCTCATACCAGACTTGTAACATAATCTTATCTTAGAAACATAAAAGGTGCACGGTTCTATCCACCACCAGCAATTTTTCAAAAATTCTGTTTGTATTACTTCAAGAAAAAGTTTGTTCCATTACTCTTAAGCAATAATTGGGAGCGTTTTAATGAGGCAATACAGGTATAAGCTCAGTTCATTAATCCTTTGAACACTCGCACATATTGTCCCACAACACAGCTCAAATGCGCTCTCTTTATTTGGTGATTACTTTGTTTATTTCACCTCATTCCGTTTATATCGACACGCACATGCATACACACACACGCAAGCACATTCCGGTTCCCTCCCTCATCCTTTGCCTTTCCCATCCGTGAATTTAACTGTCCGACTAATCAACCATCCCCTTATCCGCCCTTAGATCATGAATTAAATTTACACACTGCTAACTTCCGAAGTTTGTTCAACGCGAGATTTTTTTATGCTCATTATAGAACCTTGGTTTTTAGTTTTTGTCCCCGAGAGAACAAATAAAGTAAAAAAGATTAGGATCCCGATCGAATCACTGGAGAGCGGCTTGCAAAAGCAGAAAAGTCCGGAAATACAATCCAGTAGAGAAACATAAAAATAAATAAACAATCAATCCCGGCTAAAATGCTTCATCCACAAGAAAAAAAAAATTCACAAAAATGATCAAATGGAATAAAACTATGCTACGTATTAGACTAAATCCCAGTTTCAAATCAAAAATTGTTGCGGAATGAGCTAATGCGTTTTGAAAGTGATACGCCTAAATTGAACGAGGCACTAATTGAAAGTATACAGCCTATGACCAGAGAGCCTGGCAAAGCTAAACCTGGCGTGTAAGAGACATCACTAAAATGGGATATCCGCCCTGATAGCCAGACTTTTACACTAGCCCTATCAATCTAGCTCAGCGACTGGTATTTTTAGCCAGCGAAAACTGCATCCCAGATCAGAGTAAGAAAATAAAAGTGAAATCGAACTGCAAAAATCTGCACAGATGCATCGTCATTTCCTCAAAATAGAGAAGATTAAACTCATTTTTAGAGGATTAATGGGAACAGGTAGGGGATTCGGAATTACGCTATGCACTTCAGCTGATCAAAGTATCAGAATAAGAGGCGTCTGACATTCAGGAGGAAGCCGCATGCAAACTATCTTACAGCCACTTGATACGCGAATCCTGAATGAGATTTATTTGACAGCACCTTATATTTGAACTTTCGGAGGAAGCAATTTGAAACCTTAATCCAAAAAAGTGCCTGGACTAAAATTACGCTCTAAACAAGAATAGCATAGGGATATTTGCTGAAAGGGGGTGTGAAGTGGAGTATAAAAACGAGGATCGAATGTGAAGGTACATGTATGCGTCTCCTCACCAAGCTCTACCGAGGCCTGTGTATGTCATTTTGCTAAAGCAAATAATAATTGCGCATTGTAACACAGACACATTTTTCAATTTTTTTTTTT